CGTATTTTTGGATGTCTGATTGCGTGTATGTCGTCGTTAATTGTAAGAGTGCGTGTGAGCGTTTTTGATATTTCATTGTAGAGTGAGCGTGAAAGTATTTGCGTCATTGTCGCGCTTATTATGCCGCCGAAAAGAGCGTAACAAAGGGTAACAGAATATTGTCGTCTTTGTAGCGCTTATTACGCTGTCGAATGGCGCGTAATAACTAATATGTAGCGTCTGCCGAATTTATCGTGGTGCGAGATAATCGCCCAAATAGTGAGGGTAAAATTGAGCGATTTGCGTGGAAGAAAGAGGCGAGACATCGGCGGAGAAAATTCTCCGTCGGCCGTCGGCTGTAGAAGTTTGAGAATATCGTTCGCCCATCGCATACATGATCCGCCTTCGCAAAAGTATTCAGTATTTTCGGTTACTTATGTTGTCGAATTAGTAAGCTGTCGATTTGTTTCGCGAACTAGGAAATTGCGGGGAAAAGTCCGTTGCGATAAGTTGTCAATCTGGCTACCGAAATTACGCTATCGTTACCGAAAATCCTTAGTATTCCGTAAAGTCTCGCTCTGTCCTGCGAACTCCGGCCATAAAAACGGGCTCGGATGCATAACCAGATTGTATTAGCGCTCTCATTCTCGTTGTCGATTCGAGCAGATACTTGTTCAGAATACCGTCGCAATTTTCGTGCCAGGATCAATTATATTGTCTTTTTCGTTTTCGTATTTCGTTCGAATTTATTGTGGATCGTCGTTTCTTGATTTGTATGATTCGTTCTCGTTTTTCGGGAAATTAATAGCGAACTAATATCTTTGTAAGGAATTGTTAATCTCGGTTCAATTATCGCTTATTATTGTTTGCTGAGTCATTGTTCAAAACCGATCCAATTCCTATTATTGATTTGTTAATTATTCACTCGTAGTGTTACTTTATTTTTCTAGTAATAAACTTGTTATCTTTTTTTTGTTCAAATCGCGTAATTTATTTAAGTATTCGTCTCGCTTGGTTGTCGATTGTCGTTTGTCTGTCGTTCGTTAATTCCGCGAAGACTCGCATAATCAATTAACTTTCTCTAATAACCCCTCCCCTTTACCGTTAGGCGAGCTAGTCGGCCCGTGGCAAAGCAGGCTATCGTTTTCTTTTAACGTCTTTCGGCTTTTCGCGAAAACTGATGCGTGAAAGACCGCATCTGGCGCCCAGCTTTTCGATATATCGATACGGTCTCCGCTCCGCCACGGCTCGCGCGAGAACGTCCTCCATTCCTGTTCCTCAGAACGCGAGTATAATAATTTCGTTATTGTTTTTGACGGCGTTTTCGCTCCCCCGCGCACGCTCCCATCCAATATCTCGAGGAGTGTCGCGATTCATTTTGAATCTAATTGAAATAAACGTCGCAGTGCCAAAACATCGATCGTTTGGCCAACGCTCCGACGGATTTCGACAAATATACCATCGGTGGCGAGACCACTGGCATTTACGCGAACTGGAATACGAATCACGTAGTTTTCGGAGATCTGTGCATATGGCTCGTGGACGCCGCCAAGTATTGTCTGAACGAAAACACACCGGAAACGGCGAAGAAACGCGTCTTTGATATCTTCGTAGATTTCGTAAACCGTTATCGCATTCAAATGGACACCCCGGACGAACACGGGAAACTGCGACGCGGCAATCCGTATCCGTGGAACGACGGACATCGTAACAATTGGTATCAGTTTACGGTGAGCGCGCCGCTCCTGCTGTTTCACGGGATCGTTATATCGCGCACGGCCGAATTTACGAAAATGTGCGTCGAAGAGATTCATCAGACGATAACTTCTCCGCGCTGTAGCAACGGTCAATGTCGCGACGGCGCGAATCAGATATACATGTCTCTTCCGTGGATCGTCGCGCATTACGCCAAGGATCCGAAATCCGTCGAAAAATGGGCGCAACATCCGGCGTATCAGTGCGTGGTGGAGTATATAAAATTTACTCGGGTGAAAGAGCGAAAGCTAGAGGGTCTTTATCTCGACTCCACGTACATTATGCACAGCATCGTGTTGGCGTTCGGTTATTTACTGGAAATGACGACGCTCAGCAGTTCGATCATCGCATTTGACGATCTAATACGTAACTTCGTGATAAATTACCGCCGCGTGCAATCGTTGTTGTGTCATCCGACGTTGCCTTACGGGCCGATCGGTTTCTTCTCGCGAACCACTACCACCACGATCGGAACGTTTCTCGCGAGTCCACTCGGCGTGCGTGTAATTCCAACCTGTCTCTTTATTCGCATGTACGGCGAGGATTACTCGTTCGCTTGTCGCGGTCAAGTTCCGTGGATCGCGTATTAAGGCCAGTCTACAATGGCAGTAAGATGGATTTTAGAGTAGGTAGTAAACTGTTTTAAGGGCAGTAAAGACTGGGAGTAATGAAATGGCCAATTCCCATTTCATACTCCCTACATTCTTACTGTCTCCCAAGAGATTGTTAAGGCGCGAAATTAAAAAGTGTGTCGATGTGCTGAAAGTGAACTCTCGTGGACAATTTATTGCGAAATTATTGTGATTTTCATATATTATTTATATATATTTTTATATTATAATGGCTGAAGAATATTATGTAGAAAGCTATGATAACGTGGAATATGATAATTTGGAAAACAAAGAAAATGAAGATATTGAAAATGAAATAATTACTTATCAAAAAGAATTAATTGCTATTGTAAAAGCAAACCCGATACTATGGGACAAAAGACAAAAAGGATATAAGAATGTTCATAATAAAGAATGTGCCTGGGCCTCTGTGAATGCAATGTTAAAAAATATTGCTGGTAAGTATCTAACGGAAATTGAGGTTATGATAGTTGTGAGATTATGATTAAAAACATGATTGATATTTAGATGCTGAGAAAGAATTTTATAAAATTCGACAAAGGTATGGAAAGGAACGACGAAAAGTTATTATGTCATTAAAAGGAAAATCTGGACAGGGTGCCCAGCTCATATATGTTCCTGGATGGGAATTGTATGAATCATGTGATAGTTTTCTGCGTGACATTATCATACCACGAAAGTATGTTGACTTTCCTCAATTAAAATAAAAAAAATAAATTTAAAAAAGTACAATTATTTATAAAAAGTTTCAATAATAAAAAAAAACAAAAAAAAGACGGTATTGTTTGTATTTACAATAATTATTTATATTAATAAAGCAATATTGTGTGCAGAACTTCTAGCAGCTATATCAAAAATACTACACCTGCAACAACGACGTCAAATGAAGTAGCAACTTCCCCTCTCACTCAATTTAAAATAATTGTACCATCACAAAATGTCAAGACTCATCTAGCTAACCATGTCATCACACCTATGCAGATTTCTAATACCAAGTGGATATCAAATTTCAATGAATCATCATCATTATCCAGTATGTATTGCATATTGTATCATATGCTAAATGATTTAACAAATGTGTTACATATTATATATACATATAATTACAATGAGATACATTTTTAGGTAATGATACGACATCTTCTACCACTTTTGAGTGCACAGAAACATCGGTTCAGTCACAGTTTCAAACACCATCTCTATCTGTAAGTCAAATCGTACCAGTGTCATCAAGAGACAAAACAAGTGTTGCAAAAGAGATGTTGCAAAAAATGAATCAAGCTACAGTGACGAAAGTTCCTTCACCTGATAATTTTTGTAAGAAGAAAAAGAAAATGGATAATGATCTGACAGAGGCATACATAAAGCAGTCTGATGAATTAAATAATCTGGCTGTGCAAATTTCGCAAGCATTGGTAGCGAAGCAAAATCCAACACTTACTCCTGCAGCAGCTCTAGATCCCATGTTAGGAGCTATTCAAATGGCACTGACAAAAGTAAAGGAAGCAAACAAGTTTCACTGCATGTTAGGTATTCTGCAATACATCAATGACAATTATGTGAAGACTGATGAGTCACAAGAGTAGGGATTAGTTTTATTTCATATATATATTAGTTTCATTTTTTATATTTATTTTTGCACATTTAGAAATAGATTTATTTATGTTACACATTACAAAATTATTTTTTTAACTTTTGTTATACAAAGAGAAACGTTTTTTCTATTATTTTTGACTAGTGAACAAAATCAGGAGATTTAATAGAAATTCTCCGAGGGCAATGCATATGTGATGATGAAAAAAAGACTCAATCATAAATTAAAATTATATTCTAATAGAATTTATTATATGTACCTTCGCATAGATGTGCTTATACACATACACTTAAGTCTGAATAATTACAATTACATTTGATTGTGCCGTGTGGTATGTGCTATAAGAAAAAACTTCAAAGTTTTATGCAATATATTGAAAGATGAGAAATGTCCAAAGATTATAATGTTAATATATTTGCAGTGTGTAATATTTTAGTCATATGTACAACTGTTTCTTTTTTTTTGTAATACATTGCTAGTAGTCCAAAAAACAAGCATAATTTTATAATTATTAGATATAGATATGTATCAATCTGTCTCTATATATGCATATGAGAATAAGATATATGAGAATAATATTTTATTTTAAAAAATGATATATTTCTTTTCTATATTTAATAATGTTTCATTAAAAAAAAATAATATATTTCTTTTCTATATATATACTATTCTTTTTCTATTATGAGCTTTGTCAATTTTTCAATTTTGTATTTCTTTGTGTTATTTCTTCTGTAACTATAGCTAAGTCTTATGTATTTTATTATATATATAAGATAATTAAATATGAGAGTTACTTTTTAATAAAGAAAATACAATATTATGTAAAAAAATATATTTAATAAAGTAAATTCAAATCATATACATAGAATATAAATAATATTTAACGAGCACAACCTGTATACCAAATAAATCAGTCTTATGTTATTTTTCTTATATCTATATATCTTTTCTATATATATTATCTATATATTCTATATTCTATATATATTAATTTGTAAGTCTTAATGAAAGAAACAAAAGACAAAATCTTTATATCTAAATTAGCGAGCAGGTGGATTAATTCGTACAGTTCCAAGAGCAGCTTCGTATTGCCAAGGTACTTGAGATACTCCAGTAGGAGAGATAAAGTAATCTCGCAAATAATTTCGTAAACCTTCTGCGACAGTCCCAGCTCGATTTGCTCCTACTCTACCCAAATGCTTAAAGTAGGCTGAATGTTGCTCTCTCCAACGTCCTTCTTGTACAACGTAATTTTCTTCTCGATCAATATAGTCTGGTGGACAGTAACGTCTAATATGCATAGGCAATTCTTCCTCACCCATCATTACAAAATTGTGCAGACATACGAGTATTTTAAATAACATTTCACTATTCTCTAGAGACATACAAAGAGGCTTATGTAAGATCTGCCAACGTGCCGTGAGAATTCCAAAAGTATTTTCAATTATTCTGCGACAACGAGATAATCTATAATTAAAAATACGTATATCGATTGAGAAGTGACTACTATTTTTACGTGAATATGGGCGCATAAGATAGGTAGTTAGAGGAAATGCCTCATCTGCCACAAATACAAATGGAAAAGGTATGTTTCTCTCAGGGAGTGGTCTTGGAATGGGCAGATCAATGGCTCCATTCTGTAAATCTTGTGCAAAATCTGTATTTGCCCAAACGCCACCATCGCTGATGGAACCTGTGAACCACCACATTAATTCATCACAGGAGGAGATATTACGTATACTTCCCAATACTTACAATTTCTATGAACTTACCATACTGGCCAATATCAATCCAAGTAAATTTATATTTGGCATCACATGTTGCAAGTAACACGATACTAAAAAATTGCTTGTAATTATAGAAGGTAGATCCTGAGTTACGAGGAGCTTGAATACGCATATGTCTTCCATCTATTGCTCCCAAGCAGTTTGGGAATTGCCAATTCGCCATAAATTCCTCACTGATCAACTCCCAGCCGAAACGATTTACGGGTTTCAACACAACAGGACTTAATGCAAACCATAGTGCTCGGCATGTTTCATTAATAATGGAATGCACAGTGGATTTTCCAAGTCTAAATTCCAAATGTTTCGACCTGGCACTATCACCTTGAGCAAGATACCTGTAAGCAGCATAAATGACATTAACTCTGGTACAGAGAAATAAAATATATCTATACATTTTTTACTACTCACATTAATGTGACAGCAAGCCGCAGTTCTGTTGGAAATGGTGAACGAATGCTTCTCTTTACTAAGTACGGTTTGACCAGATCAACCAGAATGTCAAAATATTCGGGTGACATTCGAAATAATGAAAAAAATTCTTCGTGATCCGTTCTTTTCAGTTCCTTTACAAGGTTAACATAAAAACCTTGAGAATTTTTTTTCCGATTGACGGGGCGTACCCACCACCGCCGACCAGAATATTTCATTTTACGTTTTAGTACATGGAATTGTAGGCCTAACATTTTATGCCATGCTAGCAAAAATAATGTCATAAGCGCAATATCCAGTGTATCAATATTCATTATTATAACCTCGCACATTTTGTATGTTCTTCATTATTCTACAACTAGATCTGATGGTCTGTTCGTTGATTGGTAGAGTCATTACTTGCATTGCACCGCCATTGTAGACAGAGGTGAAGTAATTCGAAAAATCTTACTCCATACTCTGTACCGCTTACTGCCATTGTAGACTGGCCTTTACGAATGCGACGGCGATAACAAGGACATGTGTCAGTATTGGGTGCAGTATCGCGGCGTGAGATTCAAAGGCGATCCCCTGCACGAGCCTACGTTTCCGGAGCCGGGTTTCGCGTATCAGAAATTCGTCGATTCGGCGGAAACTATACCGGTGACCGAGCGTTGTCGAATACCAACGATCAACGGCGGGGAAGGGCACGTATCCGTGGCGAATCGAAAAATCGGACGGGCAGCCGGCTAATTTGCGCTTCGGTTTCGTATTCTCGTACGGAAACATCGGTATTCTGCGTCACTATTACAAATGTCCGCAGATGCGTTACAGCATGACGAAACCGATCAGCGACGACAAAACGTCATTCGGCAAGTATTCCGTAGACGAGTTCATTCTTTGCGATTACGAAAATCATACGATCGATATTTACATGCGTGTATACAAAGACTCGGCGTTCACGATGATACTTTGCGACGGCGACACGAAACACGAATGGAGCCAGTACGATTCGGCGCTGGGTATTTGGCATATGCACTGGGATTGCGCGGCGCGACGTTTAACCAGCGAGTTCGAATCGAAAGACGATATCGACAGTTATATCGAGGAAAAGTATCCCAAGGGTTATACCGTAGTAGACAGCGATGACAACGAAACGGTGATTCTATTGGACCAGGGTAAACCAAAAATGGCCATGTATCCCGACGATTGGAAGTCGCTCGATCGTAACTTTACGAAATATAAAGGTCAGTCGTATACGTTTCAATTCGACGAGGCTACGAACCAATTTTGGCTAACCGGACAATGCGTAGCTGCTGGCGGCGATGCCGGCGGCGGCGGCGATGCCAACAATTTCGAAGTTCCTCCGGCGACGAAGGAGGCTTCTCCGGCGACGAGGGAGGCTTCTCCGGCGACGAGGAAGGCTTTTCCGACGACGAGGGAAGTTTCTCCGGCGACGAAGGAAGCTTTTCCGGCGACGAGGGAGGCTTCTCCGGCGACGAGGGAGGCTTCTCCGGCGACGAGGGAGGCTTCTCCGGCGACGAGGACAAAATAAAGATTGATGAAATAAACACGTTTACGTTGAAAACAACTTTATTTCGAAACGATATACATTCGCGCGTTTACAAAATTATGGTCCTTAAGTCCAAACGGATCGAACGTGCGTCTCGATATGGGACCGACTCAGGGATAGAAAAGCTTCTCTCGTGATATACGGCATGTTCATGCAAACGTTGATCTTGATCGCCGGTGCTAAAACGAACGAATCACCGTTCGAAAACTTGGTCGGCATTTCCAAAACGTACAATAAACTCCAGACGTGTCGAGCAATCCATGCGCGCGCGGTCGTCGAAGATGGCATCGAACGACGAGATATCGCGCTCGTATCCTCGGCATCATTTTCGTCGTTGGCGTCGTTGTTTTTGCGCGACAAAATTTTGGTCATTACTCTTTCGGCCAGGCGAGTGTACGTCGAAGCGACGGTATCATCGCTCCGATTCGAGCTCGCCCGGCCGAAAGCTTGTCCGAAATGTCTTCGTCTCGACATTCGAGAAGATGTCCCGTCTCTATTCATGCCGCCGCTCGTTTTGTCGTTATAACCAAACACGATATTACAGGCTAGTTTGGATTGACGCGTCATCTCTAGGAGAGTGACGCGAAGAGCGTCGAATACATCCGTAATCGCCGATATAGCGCTCTCGTACGCGTCGTCTTCTTTCGGTGTAGCGATAGCTTCGCTCGGTCGTTGTTCTTTGCGTTCGAGTGACATCCGCTCAACGTCGTTCTCGTCGTAGGTGGCCACTCCTAATGGCGCAAACATCGAATCGCGAATTGCATCCGAACGAGATCTCCACGAGCGATTAGACGCCGCGTTCGGCGCGTTCGTCGCGTCCAGGCCCTCGAATGAAAAGGCTACGGGATCGAAGTTTCGAAACGTCGACGCTACGTTTAGAAAAACGTAATGTAGCGCCGTGTAATACGTAGCTATCGAGTCTCTGCTACTGCATAGAATACCGTGAGCGTAATCGTTGCCGTAACACACGAATAGCCAAACGATGAACGCCCAACATTTGGAGCGCACGTGCTCGAAAGCACGCCAGCACTCGAGCACACCGCCGCTACGTTCGTGGAACACGAGCATATTGATCGCTATGGCCGGAGACGTCGCGAACTTGGACAAAACGTACACGTACACGTCGTTGTCTCGCGACATAACAAGTTTGGAACGGTAACGCTGTTGACCCATCAGCCAATTTATCGCTTTTATCTCACCCTCGCCCTCGTCGTGATCGAAATCGGTGCGCTCCAAAGCGAAATCGAATTCACCCGTCGGAGTCGTAAGTAGAGCTCGCACGGGCGGTGCCACGTCCGCTACGCGCAATCTCCTGGACGCCGACATCGTCGCGACAGGCGGTGCGTCAACGTCGTCCGACGCGCACTGGCGTTCCTCTCGTTTTAATCTGCTCGCGCCTACGAGTTTGGCTATCACCGGTACGTCGGTCTGTCTGATCAATTGCGTCTGTCGTTTGGCGCGTGGCGCGTGATTATCGAGCGTGTAATGCAACAAACCCGGTCTGTGTTTGCGCAGATACGAGATTTCGTTGCTGGAACGCAAACGTTCTACGAACACGGCTCCGAACTGCTCGAGCGCGTCGATCGAGCGTAAAGCTCCGACCACGAAAGGCGTGACGTCGACGGATACGGCGAATCTGGACGAGCCGAATTCTCGACGATTCGGACGGATTTTTTCGTCGTCGTTTTGAACGACGACGTCCGCGGCGTTTCTCTCGGCGCCGCGGCCGTTATTTTTAAGTCCCTCGTTGTCCGGTATCGTCCAACGCACGGAAAATTTATCGCGCAAACCGCCGAATCCTTGGATACCCATAACGCGCCGATCGATTCCACTCAATCGGGTATCGACGAAATTTTCCGTTCGAGGGTCGCTCTCTCGCGAATTATTCTACGTAGATTCGACGATTGCTCGTCGGCGTGACGCTTCGCGCGCTCGTGCCGTTCGATCTCCGCCGCTATCGCTCCTACACGCAGTGTTGCCAACAGGTCGAAATAAAAAAATCTATAAATTATTTTTAAAAAAGCTAGATAATAGCTAAATTTTAATAGCAAAAAGAGGATATAATAACTAGATAATAGCTAAAATTTAACGCAAAATCTTATAATATAATACTTTATCAGTATAATTTTTTAAAAATTTATTTATTTAATTTTTAAATTATAATTTAAATTACAAAAATTGCGCTTTTTTAATAAGTATAGAAAAACTTAAAATGATAAATTGCACGTTTATAATTGCACGGCATGACTTGAAAAACTTAAATACATTGTATGTACGTTTACAATGACTAACGATATATGCATAACTAAGTATAAATAAGATATAACTATGTATAAATATTTAAATTTTAATATTAAGATATATATTTTTTTTATTTAAGAATCAGAGCAAACTAGTCAAAATATTTAAAAAGTAAATTGTTTAAATCAAAATTGTTACATTTATGGGGATAAGTCTCATTTGTGCCAATAATTTTTAAAACTTTTTCTGGTAATTCATAATCATGACAGCATTTACCGTGCCTTTTTAAACCATAACGTACACATAATATAGAATTAATCATATCAAGACTCAAATTATTTCTTGTTTTATTTTTAATTAAGTTGAGTTGACTAAAAATACGCTCAACTTCTGCATTGGACATCGGGAGTACCAAAAATAATAAAGCAATTTCTGCAATGTTTTTAAAAGCATTTTCACCTACAGCATCTCGATATTTATAAACTTCTCCCCAAAAATGTACTGTATGATTTATATTATTCCATTTAACAAAGTGAAGTTTATTATATTCCATTTCAATCAGTGTAATCTGTGAAGGATCAATATTCATTTCAATTAATAAAGATGTAATTGGTAACTTCTGATGCTTTAATACATTGTCAATTGAAAATAAATTGATTTTTTCCAAAATGTGAATATTATCAGGCAATCTCTGTTTTATCTGTTTATATAAAGAAAACAAAAAATTTTTGCATCTGCATCTTAAGTTTTTTTCTTCTACAGAAGTAATTCTTTCTTGTTCTGTAAGTTCTCTAATTTTATTTTCAAATGCATAACCCAAATAAGGATTTTGATCTAGATAAGGCTCAATATCATTTTTTATAGGATCTATGTTATAAGCTGGAAGTATTATCATTTTACTAATACTGTTAATTAATAAAACAAGATCACTTAGTAACTTTAAGGGATCTACATTATTTCCTTCGAATGCTCTATTTACCTGCTGAATATGATTTAAAATAGGTTTTAAAAATAATAAGTATAATAAATTTATCTCATCTTTGTACATGTTATATAAAAGTTCTGCATTGTAGCATTTCTCAGAATTGCGTACAATTTCAAAGTGAGTTTTTAGTTCCAAATATTGATTTAAAATTGAACTAATTGCAGATTCAATCGAAAGCCATCGTGTGTTCGCAAGCTGTACAATTTTTTTTGGTTCTTTTCCATCGTTAATAGTTTTGTATAACTCACTATAATTACATTTTCTACTAGATGATCGTGAAAACCAGTTATAAGTTTCAGATATTAAATATTCTAAAACACGAGGTAATGTATCATTTGCTGCATGAAAAACTGCCAATTGTAGCGAATGGCAAACACACTTAATTAAAATTAAATTTGGAACATCTTCCTTTAATTTTTGATAGAGGCCGTTATTTATGCCAATCATCGTACTACAATTGTCAGTTGCAATTCCAACTAAGTTTTCTAAAGGCAACTTATAAATATTTAATGTTTCCTTAACTGCAGAAGCAAGACTTTCTGCATTACATGCATTTAATTCTACTAATGTCAAAAATGTTGATATAACTACTTCTTTATTTGTATCAAAATAATTAATACCAATAGCTAAAATTTTTTTTACAGTTATATCTGTAGATTCATCTAAAAATAAACTATATTTATGAAAACTTGATTCTGAT